GACTGGGGATGTGACTCAGTGGTTAAGTGCTACTGGGTTCAATCCCTAGTACCCAAAAAAAAGAGGGGGGGAGGGGGGAGGGAGAGAGAGAAAGAGAAAGACTTTATGGCAGAAATTCTTGGTAAAGATCATCTAGCACACTGGTCTCTTACTCAAAATTACACTGGTTTACATTACATAAGGAAGCAGTACAGATCAGTACAACAGCCCTTGTCAGCCTTGAGGGGAAATTCTGGCTACTTAACTCCAGGCAACTATGAGAGCTTAGGCTCTCTAAGCCAGTTTCTTTTTCCATAAAATGAAGATAATAGTAGTACGTACTATATAAAGCTGTTTTCAGAATTAAATGATAAAGAATTTTGTATATTATTTGGTCAAGTAGACGTATTCAATATCTAGAGGCACCAGAGGCTGAGAGGCTGAGAGGCTAAGCAACTCAGTGAGACCCGGTCTCTAAATAAAATATAAAACAGGGGTGGGGATGTGCTCAGTGGTAGAGTGCCCCTGAGTTCAGTCCCCTGTACCACAAAAAGGAAGTTTTTAACAAATGGTACATGTTATTTTATGTACTTCTGATGTGTGTATAAATATTTATTAATCCTTTTGCAATATTAAAGTAGACATTTCAAGTTACTCTAAAGAAGGAACAAGGTTCATCCAATTCGGAATGTGTTAATACTAACAAATGGGTCATTGCCAATTAATRTATGATTTGAAGAAGTATTTAGCTGGCTGGGGATGTGGCTCAAGCGTTAGCGCGCTCGCCTGGCATGCGTACAGCCCAGGTTCGATCCTCAGCACCACATACAAAGATGTTGTATATGCCGAAAACTAAAAAATATATATTAAAAAAATTCTCTCTCTCTCTCACTCACTCACTCTCTCTTAAAAAAAAAAAAAAGAAGTATTTAGCTATTGTAATTGTTCCAAACGTGTTTTTTTAAATTTATTTTTATTTTTTTATTTTTAGGTGGACACAATATCTTTATTTTATTTTTTTATGTAGTGCTGAAGATTGAACCCAGTGCCTCATGCATGCTAGGTGAGCACTCTACCACTGAGCCACAACCCCAGCCCTTGTTCCAAGTGTTTATATGTAGTTAAGAATGTATCTCTTGACCGGGCGCACACCTGCAATCCTAAGGCAGTAGGATCACGAGTTCAAAGCCAGCCTTGGCAAAAAGTGAGTCATCAAACAATTCAGTGAGACCCTCCCTCTAAAGAAAATACAAAACAGAACTGGGGACGTAGCTCAGTGGTTGAGTGCCCGAGTTCAATCCTCCCGCCAAAAAAAGTTCAGCTCCAGCCAAAAAAAGAATGTATTTCTTAGCCAGGCGCGGCGGTGCATTCCTGTATCCTAGTGGTTTGGGAGACTGAGGCTTAAGCAACTTAGTGGGGCCCTATCTCAAAAAATAAAAAGGGCTGGAGATATGGCTCAGTGGTTAGGAAATCCTGGATTCAATTCCTGGAACCAAAACAAAAACACAACTTTCAAATATAGACGTAATACAAAGAAAACACAATTAATACAGGGCAAAATGATCATATATTATACATATATACATATATATATACACACACACACACACACACACACACACACACACACACACCAGAATTCCTCAGATGTACAGATGTTTAAATACTTCCCCAAAAAAGTACCCATGAATGATCAAAATTTAGTAAATGCTGCTTTGAAATTAGCATTGTGAAGATCCCCAAAGAAATGAAATTATCAATATAATAATGTGCACTCAATCTTCAGGACAGGAAAGTTAGTATGGATCATTCTCCAAACTAATTTGAGCATGGAGCACTTACTTCCTTCTTTGACTATTTTCACAGGCATACACTGTAGGAAATAACAGGTRCAAATTCTGCTAAGAATGAAATAAATCAATATGGTGTTGAAAATAAGTTGTCTTTAATTACATTTCTCTTTAATTACACAGATTTTTCTGGACACAGGAAATGTATACCTGTAATTCCAGCAACTTGGGAGGCTGGGGAGGAAGATCACAAGCTCGATGCCAGAGAGACCCTGACTCAAAAAATTTAAAAAGGGCTAGTATGTAGCCTGGTGGTAGAACACCAATGGTTTCAATCCCTAGTACTTCAGTAAACAAACAAATAAATATTTCAAAGGAATTGGGAATGTAGTTCAGTGGTCATATACCCTTGGGGTTCAATCACCAATAACACAAACAAACAAACACAGATTTCATGGGGGTAGGGCAAGATTTCAGAAATAGGGGGGCTGGGGATGTGGCTCAAGCAGTAGCGCGCTTGCCTGGCATGCATGCGGCCCGGGTTGGGTCCTCAGCACCACATACAAACAAAGATGTTGTGTC